AGTGCTGAGGTTTGAGAGAGTCTTACCTAAAAGTTATTATTAGAGGAAAATCAAAATTGAAATTGAAATTGGTTATTTTTCATTTATAAGCAAAAATGGCCTATGAAAACACATCGAAGTTTCACAGAAACAGGGAGGGCAAGCCCCGCTCACCCCGCAGGTGGGCGAGGGGGCTCCCCCCGCCTGGCCGGAGGCTAGGGCCTTAAGGCGCACACAGACTGGTTCAGGTTTCCATATGCGTGAAGCTTCTTCCCAGGGGCTGTGCTTCCTTACATGTGACCCATTCTGCCTCCTAGGAAGCAGCAGCTAGTCGCTGTCATTTGTTAATTTAATCACTGATCGCACAAGCTGCCCCTACAGGCCTCGCTCTCTTCCTCCCCCCACTCTGCCAGCACGCACTCAGAGGGTGAGGGGCCAGGCACAACCAGTCTCTGGATCAGGACATACGGCAGCATCTCCCCAAGCAGGGTTCCCTCTGTGCCACGCCTGCCTGCCGTGGCCTCCTGCCGTGGCCTGCCTGCTGTGGCCTGCCTGCCGTGGCCTGCCTGCCGTGAGACTCGTTTGTGCTGGCTGCCACGACAGACTTCAGGTTCTTCACACCAGGCTTACAACTAGATGTCAGTATTGCCCTACACTAAAACTGGTCAGAGACAATGCAAGAAATAAACCTGCTGAGCACTGTATCTGGGGGAAAGGGGTGCCAGCTCCCCCAGCAAGCAGAAAGAAACCGAACCCAGCAATACGTAAGCAGATCTGCACGCCGGAGCCCAGTGCTGTCCGTTCCAGGGAGGCGGGTCTGGGCTAACATTTAAAGTTTAATTCAGGTAACATCCATAGGGTTTAAAATAACAAAAACTAAAAGCACACGATCATGTCAATAGACAGAAATAGAGGAAAATTCAGTAACCTTTATGATAAAAAACACAACAAACCAGGACGGGACAAGATTCCTGAAGCATGATAGAGGGCGTCTGTGAGGAGCTGACGTCCCAGGTGGAAGCCTCCCTCTCTCCCAGGCTGAGCTGAGACATGGGTGTCTACTGTTGCTGTTTTTAATACTATTTGAAGTCTCTGGACGCTGAATATACACTATTCTAAGAGGGGTTTTTATCTGAGACAATTGGGGGGGGGAAGACGGGGGGGTGGTGGATGGAGGAGAGGAGCATTCAGATCACAAAAGTGAAACTACTGCCTGTCATTTCACCAACCCAGACACTGAGGACATGGTCTGAGGGTGGAAAACTTCTGCCAACATCGCCCTTGGGGAAGACTGAGGCAAAATAAAATAAAATAAAGTTCTTTATTATCCTTTTTGATCTCCAAAGCATGTTTTCATGTACAAATGTCAAGAGTATATCTTTAATTCAATTGTGGATACTCTCTTTGACTCAGATAAGAAATACTGATGTCACAGCTTCAGTGTGCTTCCTTCTAGAGAACTGGACTAGGGAAGCATCAGTTAAAATAAAGGACATCTACCATGATGACATTTTTCACACATTAGGCACAAGACCTCACAACAGGTCCTGACGCAAGCAGGCAGGGCTCCCGTGGAACCAGGCGGCCAGCCGGAATCGCTTCCCGAGTCCTGACGCAGCGAGGAGCCTTCCCCAACGTGCACGCTGCCAATGTCCTCTTACAGATGCCGGAGTGCTGCCTTCCTTCCTGCTCCGGCACTCAACACCTGAGAACTCCCGCAGGAAACCTCCGAACCTATATTCATTTATACAAATTATTTTCCACAGAGATGAAAAACCTTTTCAAGCTGTGTTTTCTCTCAGAACTCTCTCGGTGAAGAGACTTGAGTGTCTTTCAGTCACGGCTATGAAATCATTTCTTTTTGTCGCTTATTCATAGCCTTCTTTGAAAAACCACAAAAGAAGGGACAATGAGTGCAGACTTTCAAACTGGATTTGCGTGTTATAAATAGAGCTGTGGACAACGGAGGCAACTGCGTTTCGTGTTTTTCTCAGGAAAAAGTGGAGAGAAATTAGAAGTCTGTCCGTCAGGACTTCACGTTGTCTTCCTCACTTCTGTGCATTCCCTACATCCTCTCCTTTTCCTTCCCTGCCTACACTTTTCTTCTGGTTATCCTGAATTCATTTTAGTGCTAAACACACACACACACACACACACACACACAGCCTATTTTATCCAGGAGTCTTTCGTTCATTAAGTGGCGACAGGGAAAAGAACACTGCGGAACTGAAGTCACATTTTCAGAGTGAGATCCCCTGTGATGTGAACCTGGACACTTACACCAGTTACAGCACTCAGTTACTGCTTCGTACCTGGATGGTGGGGATAATTCCACCTGTCACAGACCCTCTGCAAGATTTAAAGCACTTCGATTTTGTTCCACCTTCCTGACCTCACTGAATTAGAATAATCTTAGAATCTCAGCATAATGCCAGTTATTTATTTCTTTTTTTAACTGAAGTGACTTCAGTTTATAATATTATTTGGCTTTCAGGTGTTCAGCATTATAAAATCAACACCTGCACACACTACACTGGGTTCCTAGCCAAAAATCTAGTTTAATATAAAATGGGAATGCACATAAATGTGAACATTAAGACAGACTATTCTCCCATCCTTATTGAAAAGTCAAAAGCTTCTGGAAAGATCACTTATCCATATCAAGTTCACTGACGTTTATTTTAGCGTCTATAATTTTTGAAAGAAAGTGTGTCACCTGTGAAAGGCCATGTGAAGAGAAAGAAAAGAAACCTCGGACTGGGGTTTGCAAGCGACCCCCAAGAAGGCCCAGCCCACAGCACAAGGAGACTGAGAGCCGGGGGAACAACTGGCGGCTGAGCCCGTAACAACACCCACCAGAGGCGACCTTCGCGCCAAGCAAGCTCTGAGGGAGGCTCCAGGTCACGAGGCCAGGAAAGGCAAACGAAGGCGCCGGCTGGGGCACCTCACCGCAGGGAGGACGCCTGCCACTCTGGCTCGAACGGCCAGGCGCTGGGGACACAAAGGGCCACAGCCCCTAGAGTCCGTTCCTTCTGGAATTCCTCACAGCACTACACACACGTTACTGAAAGATCCAGCGTCTCACGCTGAGCCTGCCCCGCAGAAGTAAAAGCTCATGTTCACAAAACACGCGCGGTACCGACAAAGCTCACAGCCTCTGAACCCAGCCCCGTCCGGAGCCCTCAGGGCGGACTCCAGAGTGCCCAGCGGGGTGCCCTCCAGCACAGAAACCTCCCCCTCCCCTTAGGTCGCAGGGCCACCACATGGGCACTTCCACCTCCCACTGGAAGGGTGAACGAGCACTTTCAGCTGAGGCCAGGAGGAAGCCTGTGTGTCTCCAGCACTGTGCGCGTGTTGTGAAGTTGCTATTTACTTATTTTCATAAATGGCACAGAAGAAGCTAATGGTCACAGAAGTCGGACAAGCCGCATGTCTACAAACAGCCCTTAGTGTCCACGCGTCGGGCCACGGAAGGAAGAGGGAGATTACCTCCTGGCGCCGAGGCCGCCCCTGCAGACTGTGAGAGCCCAGAAGGCTCCAGGGACCGACTGGGCACTGCCTCCCCCCGCCCGGCGCACAGGACCCCACTCCTGGGCGGGGGGTGCCCTGCTGCTCCCCCAGGGCTCCCCCTGCCGGGGGTCAGCCGGCAATGGAGCCACCGCCCTGGAGGCAGGGCCCAGCACAGCCTGCAGGCGGCCCGCAGGAAGGACAGGGCTCCGCCAGTGGACACCTGTCTCAGGCCGAGCACTTCCCTACCAGCTCCTCCCGGGAGCTGGTGCCAGTGCCAGCTAAGCAGCTTCAACGCCTGTCACCTATTTGCGGGCCTCGGAAGCAGCTGTTCTCAAGGTCCTTTCACATTCTGACGAGCTCTCAGATACTTGCTTCAAAATAGCTGGGCTTTTCCTTAACGTTTCGGTGGTGACTCCTAAAAAGACCTTTTAAAATATCTTTTTAAGTTCAAATTATTTATTTCTTGAACCATGTTTTATGGGAACTGCAAACTTGTACATGTATATGAAAGGGTGACGTGGCTCTTTATTTTGCCTTTCACAGCCTGACAGGTGCAGGTCAACGGGAGGTGATCCCCTAGAGTCCAAGGTCTCTGACTACCGAGATCTCTCTGGAGATCGGCCGCTGATCAAGGGCCAGAGCCGATTCCCGCCGCAGACCTCACAGCTTCTTTCAGAATCTGGGGACTTATTTTCCAAACGGGTCCACCTTATTTTCTGTTCTTTTGAAACCAGATATTTTAGCATAACTCAGACCTAAACAGCTAATAAGCACTGGAAAACATTTTAAAATTTAATAAAAGCAGTCAATCTTAAAAAGTCTCAGAGGTTTGACGATGAAAATAACTTGCTACTCAAGTCAGGACAGCTACCTCTTTGGAAAAAGTAAAATAGGTCTTAGGTACCCCCAAATCACGAAGACGGCTGGCCAGGGAGCTCGTACTGTGTCACCGACAGTAGGATCCACGAAGGAAACTGGACTTCATCATAATTAATATACTTGGTTAACTACATTTCAGAAAATGGAAAGCCAGGCCCAAAACTGAAAATATCTGCAAGCCCCTTCGCTGAGAAAAGAACTTGTATCTAGGATAAAGGAATTTCACAATTCAACATAAAAGGAGAATTAAAATATGGACCAAAGATCTGAATACATCTTTCCAAAGACAAGGTACACAAGGCCCGTAAGCAACTGAACAGACACACAATATCGTTAATGGTCAGGAAAACGCAAACGGCCAGAGTAACGACAGGCTGCTCCACAGCCAGCTGGTGACTGATAACACAACTCGAAGGTAATGACGAGTGCGGGAGAGCATGTGGAGCATCGGAACCCCCTCACCTGGCTCGTGGGCGTGCCGAGCGGAGCAGCTGCTTTGGAGCACAGCCTGAAGCTCCCGGGAAGGTCAGCGCAGGGCCACACAGGCCCAGCGTGTCACTCGTGGCAAGCAGCAAAGGCGTTGTCTTACAAAGTGAAAGGGAGACGGCCCTCCACACGAGGGTCTCACTTACTCAGGTTCCACTTGAGGCCCGTCGTGGTCACCTGGCGACAAGGCTGTCCGACGGGAACAAGGCCACACCAGTCCCCCTCCAGGCCGGTGTCCACGCGCAACGTGTGCTCGCCCTGAAGTGGAGAAAGAGCAGCGGGTCAGGAGGGGAGGGCAGGCGTGAGCACGGAGGCCCGTCGCCACCATCGCGTGCCCTGCAGGGGTCACACTCCACCGGCCAACGAGGAGACACGGTGCACACTCCACCGGCCAACGAGGAGACACGGTGCGTGCAGGACGCTCCCAGGGACTTCCGCTCGGCTGCATCCTCACTGCACTCCTGCGAGGCAGCGGTTGTCAATTGCTGCTTTTACATTTGAGCAAAGTAGAGCCTTCGTTTACTTTATGTTTAATAGAGGACATATTGTCAACTAAGGAATCTAGCTCCCCTATTACAGTCCTTCACTTTCGTTCCAAAGCCGCCTTCTGCACTGATGCTCTCAGCTCCTGAGAACGTACTGTGCTCCATGCAAGGAGCCGCAAACAAGCAGGTTCTCCTGGTCTTAAATCAAAGGCTCCCTTTGATTGGGGAAGTAATTCTCCAGATGTCCTGCAGTCCCTTGACATCTGACAGATGTACCTTCAGCTCTTCACTACATATGCATTGCACACATAGATTTCTATTTTAATACTCAACCAGATAGCATGTATTCAATCAAAGGGGTTTAAACTTATTCAGACCCAAAAAAGACCTTTTAAGGAAATATAAAGTACGTTTCAGCATCCTCCCCTGGAAGGGGGTGCGGCACCCCCCTACCCCTGCCAACAATAGCAGAGATGGACTCGGGGTGCAAAGACAGCATGGGCAGGAAGGGAAACAGACCCAGCGGAACCACAGACCCCATCCGTGCAACTATAATGATGCAAAGTGGGAAGGTACTTTTCTAGATCTTTTAACCAGAAACTTGTTCTCCCACAAACTTCACTATCTTGAAATCTAAATGCAAGCCTCTATTCCTTATGATGGCATTACTTTTGATTATCTCCATTGTTTTAAAAGACACTGTTTCTAATAACAAAATAAAACGACATTTTGATTTATGCTGCATCTGGGTGTGTGTAAGAGCTGCCTGGACACGTGCAAGCAGACGCGGTTGCTGAGAGCGCGGCCTGGGCCTGACCTGGGGCTGCAGGGCAGCAGCGTGTCGACCCTTGAGAGTTCTTGCTGGACCAGAGGCGAGACCTGCCATGAGCCCATGCGCATGCTGGACCCGGGACGACAGCAAATAGAAACAACACGTACACTGAGACAGCGATGCGAGGCCTCCCTCACTCTTCTGAAAGCACCGGGGAAATGCAATCATTCTAAACAGTAAGTCAAGAACGGGAATAACTGGAATACAGCGGTGGAAAAGCTCAAGAGTGAAAAATGGTAACTGGCCTTGTTTTTGAATAGTAATTTTGGGTATTTTTCTTATAGTACCGATTTAGAGCAAAAGCTCAGAAATCATCATCACAGACATCTGCACAGATGCGAGTGTGAAAGTACTGTGACTGTCAGAAGGTTCAGGTAAGGAGTTGGAGGAAAGAGTAGCGACTCTCATTTTCTCTTTATTTTATGTTGCAGACTCAAAAAATCATGCCTAACTTGTATATATTTAAAAGAGGGTCCCGGGTTTGCTCCTGGCCTGAGCGACTGGGATTCCGCGCGCCTGCCCACGCAGCGGGATGGGACCCGGGGCAGTGCTCGTCCTCCCTGCGTGCTCCTCACCAGCAGCGGCCGGGTGCGGAGATGCGGCGCTCACACGCTCCACCCGCGGAACCCATGAGAAGAACACGGAGCCAGACAGCAGGGAGGCAGGAAACATGAGACAGCTGAGCAGGCGGGGGAGGAGGGGCCTCGTGGAAGCTGGGGCTCCCTGCAGTGAGGCCTGTGGAGGATGACAGATGAGCGGCGTCAACTGTGTGGAGCAAGGCCGCGGGGGTAGGGTCGGGGCATCTCCTGCCAGGGAGCTGGGCTGGAGGACGGGGATCCGGGACACGGTGCTCCGGTCAGCAGCGAATGCGCCCTGAGGCAGCCTGTGGGCTCCCCTTCCTCGCCGCGTGCCCACATGGCTTCCTCACCTGTGACAAACGCACCAGTGATTCAAGACAGCGGGGGAAACTGAGGCAGGAGGGGGGTCCATGGGGACTCTGCTTAATCTGCCCAGTTCTCTATGAACCTAAAACTTGCCCACACATACAGTCTTGCTAGTTTAAGAAAATTGCTCTCAGCGGCCTTTTATGTTTCCCCCCCTTTCGGAGGGCTGGCAGCGGGGAGCGGGGCAGGTTTGCCACATCTGGAGAGGACAAGGCCTGTGCAGAGAGCAGGCAGTGCTTCCTAGTGGTCATCGCCCCCTATGCTGCCTTTTCCTCCTAAAAAACTTTTTTTTCTAATTGAAGTCTTGAGCTGCCTTTACTATCTTGCACACAATTTTCCCCAGGTTGATTTCCATTGAACTGCCTGCCACATGACTTTGCATTTTATTAATTCCTGCTGCCCCCATTATAGGAAGAATTGTTTGTGAAGATAGAGACGGCAAATATAATACAAATTGTCACCCACTGGTGCCACCCCCAACACCCTTGAGCAAATCCTGAAAGAGGTAACAAAGCCCTGCTCATGGTGGGTGGATTGCTGCTGAGGGTGCGGAGAAAGCGATGCCTTAGGAGCGCTCTGGCTTGAGCAGGGAGTGATGGCGGCTTTCCATGGGGGTAGTTGTGGCTGGACCCTCAGGGGCCCATCTGAAGGCACGGGTTGGGGAGGGCGCCAGGTGCTGGAGGAGGGCAGGAACGCACACCTGGCGCAAGAGTCCACCCGAGTGTCTGCTGACAGGGCCGAGAGTGAGCCCCGCTGAGGCTGAGGCTGGGGCTCCCTTCCTCCTCAGCACCGTCTTCTAGTGAGTGGATGGAGCTCATCCACTCAAGGCTCTCCCCGTCTGAGGCCTGCTAACGGGCTTAGCAGCAGCCAGCTGACTGTGTTAGTATGTACCGGGCTCCGCATAGAGAATAAGGAAGGAAATAGGATGATTTTTCAACTTGTGGATATTAATTCCCCAGGAGAAGATTCCTCATGTTCTATCACATAATGCAAAGGAAACAGCACATACACCTGCTAAGTTTTATTATCCCGGGGAGAGGATGACTGTTCTGAAATTCACTGATTTAAAGGACACAGCAGTGAGTTTTCCTTTCTGGTCTTGCTATATATTCATCACCTCCCTCGTTATTATGGATTCAGCATAGCTGGAATTTTCATCCCAGAATAAACCGGTTGGAGAAGGCACAGGTACGTCTGGGTCTATAATCAATTCACTTTTTTCTCTTGTCTCAGAACGGTGCTTAATCATAGTGTGGATGACCTTTGTGTTTTTAAATATGTAAATTTAGCTTTATATGGTAAAAGGGGAACAATACTTTTTCCCCTTAAGTCCTTAAGTCTCTGTGACATCTTTAAAAACTATGAACAACAAAAGGGATTTGGGTCATTCCTCAGACTTCTCAACTCATGACACATTCCAGCCTGGACACAGGCTGGTGCCAAGGAGCTCCCCTGGGATTTAGGCCGCGGCTGGAGACCAGAGGCCCGAGAGCCACCCCGACTTGAACCTACCCCCGTGAATCGCTGTGGAGGTCGGAGCCAAAGAAACTCTGAGGTCAAAGAGAGTTCTGTTGCCACCTTCCACTTTTCCTGTGCTGTGTCCCCGTTCAGTTCACTGCCTGTTGCTAGAAACTACGCACAGGGAGGTGCTGATAAGAGTTTGTGGGAAATGTATTCCTGAGTTCAGATAGATACACACACATTTTTCAGACGATCACAAAGAATGGTTATAGCAGAATTAATGACCTGGCTAAGATTGAGAAAACTGGCATACACAAAAGGCCTTGTTAAAGGCTCTGACTCTCTTTAGTCAGGAACAATAAGCCACGCTCCGTGTTACCCTCAGATCCCGTAAGCTGCACATCAGTTGCTTATAGTTCACAGCCAACTAGCACAAGTTCCAGACTCACTTGACACTCCCCCTTCACCCTCTCCGAAGCCGCCCCGGCCTGCACGCCGGGTCCCCAATACCCGGCAGGCTCCGCAGCACACCGGTTAAATCTCACTCTCCTCGGAAGGGGGGTGCCTCAAGGAGAGACATCCTAACTCATCGGTTATCTTGAGTCTATCAAACCGTGTACGGTGTTGCCACCTTCCACTTTTCCTGTGCTGTGTCCCCGTTCAGTTCACTGCCTGTTGCTAGAAACTACGCACAGGGAGGTGCACTCATTTCTTTGTTCATCCCCCCGTCAAGATCGCGGATGGAGTTATCTAAGCCTACTGTCTCCATACCTCTCTCTAATTCTTATAGATTCATTCTAGTGAGGCTTTTGTGCTCACCTCTTTTTCAAGTTGACTTATGTCGAGATAACCAATGACCTTCAAATTGCTGAGCCCAAGGGTTAGTTACCAGCCAGTCATTCTTCACTTAACACTGTCAAAAGGCTCTAAGAAATCGAGACATTTTGCAAAAGGATGTAACGAAACCGAGTTGACCTTAGGCTAATGAATAAGAGTTTAGTTTCCAGGGCACTTTCTGGTCACAAAAGGATCACCAAACTTTGAATAAAGACTCAAATTTATTTTAATATGAAATAACTACTCATACTCACTCATTCCCATTCATTTTCCATCCGGCTGATTCCAATTCAGGGCCGCCCGAGAGCCCAGAGCCTGTCCTGGCAGCTAGGGGCACGACACTCCCCCTGGGCAGGTGCCCACCCAAGAGTCTAGGTGAGCCAATTACGAGCTGGCGGGAGGGAGTTGCCCAGGGCCTGCCTTGCACAGATGGGCCAAGACACAGCTGGCAGGGGCAGCTTCACACCTCATTTCAACAACCTGCCTGATGCCTCCCCACCAGACTTACGAATGGAACGTCCTGACAGACGATACCTCATTCCAGCCTTCCTGGCACACCATCTTTCTGAAAGATGGTGACACACGCTGCTGTTGCAACAGTGAAGGGCCTGGGATTCCCTAGAAGGGGCAGAGGCCCGGGAGGGCGAGCATGGCTGCTGAAAGCCACAATTGTGGGACGGGGTGGGGCTGGATCTCATC